GCAGCATAGACAGGTATTTTCTGTGTTAGAGTTTTACTCGCTACAGGGTGTACTTTGAGGGTTTGTGACTCTGCAGACCGTTTACATGCAGAAAAAGCTACGTAACACACAAGGGGACGGGTAATAACCAGAAAAGCATGACATGGGACCTTTAAAAAAATAGAACCTGACTCGTGTTTAAGAAAATTAACATTTAATATAAAACTCACACAAAAATACCTATACTCTATACATACACACAATACATTTGTTATGTACAATACCTCTGTACATTCAATAATGACTTGCAAAACAAAAGATGTTTAAAAGAATAGATTCTTAATAATAAATGTTTCACTGTGAATTGTTCCAGAGGCCAAAATAAATGAAAATTAGTTGGACTTGAATTACTCAGCAGCTTAATTATGTCTGACGTGTGAGAAGATGCGTCGGAAAAATAAGTTCAAATAAATTCCAATTCACAAAGGATAAAAAGACAAGGACGGTTTTATTGGTGAAAAACATCAAGGCTTGGCTGTGAGTAGAAGCACGAGTGTGTATGTATGTCAGCATATGTGCGTGTGTGTTTGAACAGTCACATTGTATGCCTGCATGGGCAGGTAGAAGGTGAAATGAGCCATATGATTCAGGTTTTCAGATGTGTGCAATTGTTGGTGCAGTTACTGTAAATGCTGTGTTGTCAATCGTCAGCCTGTCACTCCAAATCATTTGCTCTGAAGCCCACAGGCACATATAAAAACACAAACACACTCACACTCACACAGCTCTACCACCTGCTTATACTGCATACATGACACAATTGGAGGTTGTGGCTCAGTGGTTAGGTGCTGATCTTCGGATCACGGGGGCACTGGTTCGAATCCCACTGCAGTCAACATTCTGCTGTGTCCTTGGACAAGACACTTCACCCCAAATTGTTCCTGTGGGGATTGCCCACAGTATTGAATGTATGTAAGTCGCTTTGGATAAAAGCGTCTAACAAGTGACATGTAATGTAATTCATAACCAATAGTATTAAAGAACAAAACACCCCATTACAAAAAACAAGAGTACTTCTTATAGACAGCTGTGCAAAAACAGAAAAATACAGTACACATTCATAGCCTTCATTCTTAACTAGACATAGTAAGTATTGTTGTGTAGAGAAAACTAATCCATAAACACTAAAGTTTTAACAAACGGAAAAGAAAGGTTCCTTTAGCCCGTTGTTGACTATGTTTCTTTCCATCACGGTATAAATGCTGTTTTTAATCAAAGTGGAATACAGTAAGTCTGAAAATACTACATGTGATAATATTTGTAAAATCTGTCATTAAATCTTTAAATCTGTAGTGCAACATTTTAGTAAATATGCGTATTTGCTTTCTTGCCAAGGACTTGATGAGAATGTTTATATCCCTCATGTCTGCATGTTATTGTGAAGCTAAGATGCTGGTTAGCTTAGCTTAGCATAAAGACTGAAAAAAGGTGGACACATCTAGCCTAGCTCTGTCCAAAGGTAACAACATCTGCCTTACTGTACCTCACCACTAAAGATCTGTGATAAACACTTAGAAATTACTATAAATATAAGGTGTCCTGTAGACACTTAATAATGAATGCATTAAATACAACAATGCATTACAATATAGTAAAAACATTATTAATATATTATAAAATATGTCTTCATATAGGAAGTTACAAGTGGGTCAGACACAGCTCAGTTATACTAATCTTCAGCTCAATAAACTTCTGTTCAGACTTGCCCTGCTTACTGTGATCACCTATGCTGTATTTTACTACAACCAAACTCATCATTCTGTTGTTCTCATTTACATATTTTAATTGTCTTTGAAGCATAAATGTAATTGTGTCTCATAAATGCTACCTAAATGTTGCCCCAAGGAAGACAACTTTTCCTATGGTGCTGCACTGAAGTGTCGATCAAATCGCTATTTTATGATTGCAAAGTTGTCCGAAGAGATGAACATCTTCCTGTTGCTGGGAACACCTGTATCGTGTGATTGGCAACACCTTTTCTTTTTATGAGGAATCACAGAGAAACTTAAAGGAAACAGACACCTGTTCTCTTGACCTTCCCCCCACTCCAACTCTGCTGAAGACGATACACATTTGGGAGTCATTTTGCCACCCGGATCCTATTATTATTGCAAATGTAACAATTTGCTAGGACTTAACTCCAATGTATTTTGTAATTGAAATAATGATTATCAAAGAAAGGAATGGTTAAGGAATAATGGTTAGGAAAATTCAAAAGGAAATAGGAAAAGACGACCGGGCTTCCAGAGAATCCGACTGCTCTTACAGCTATCCAACGTATTTATGTATAAGCGTATGAATTGTAACTGTATAAAAGCCATATCTTCAGTTTGAGTCATTGCACTGGGCTGTGAAGACATTGCTTTCTGTATCCTGTGTGCCTCTCTTGCTAAATTATTATTAAAGACTCAGAAGGACCACTCTTTGACCAGTTTATTTCAAGTATTTCCACCACAATATACAAGTAAACAACAACCCTAACCCTATCAACAACTGCCTGTTCTCCTTAGTTTTTCATACAATTATTCTGTCTCAAAACATTGTCTTGTTTCAAATAAGTGTGACAAATTCACCTCTTGAACTTTTAGGTAAACTATGCGTCATATTGTTGGTAGAAGAAAGCAAAGCTATTCCTAATAACTTTGGTGAGACCCCTAACTTTTTGTACGGATCTAAAACTGATGATGTGCCCTGACCTTTACAACACATGGGTAAATCAAGAGGAGATTCTGAATAAATAATATGCATAACATCATTTTTAAACAGAAGGTGACTCAGGCATGAAGGATTTGGCCGTGTCTCTTCTAAAGGGATGTTTAGCTTCATTTCTCGCTTCTGTGTTTCTACAGTGCGTGTGTGTGTGTGTGTGTGTGTGTGTGTGTGTGTGTGTGTGTGTGTGTGTGTGTGTGTGTGTGTGTGTGTGTGTGTGTGTGTGTGTGTGTGTGTGTGTGTTTCCATCTGCTTTCATCTATTCCAAGGTCCTTATGTCTTTAAGGTTATACTTGAGGTAAGACAGTGTTGTTCTATTTTGAAAAAATATCTTAGAAAAAGAAAACCTGGACAAACACTGCTTTCACAGAAACAACCCTGACATTTAATGTTCAAATGGAAGTAGGGCATTGTGAATCCATGTTATTTGTTGTTAATAAAGGTACAAACATGCAGCAATGAAATGCCTAGACGTGTCGATTATAAAACAGACATATACTACACGCAAAATATATTATATTTTCCTGCACTCGGCCTGGAATACCATGTGCTGTTAAGCAGCCCCCTCTAGTGGTACAGCGCTAGAATGCAGTGGCTGTGATACAAAAAGAGAAGATGTTAGGATATCAAAATGTATTGTATACATGCCAATGCCATTGATGTGCCACTGTACTGTTTGATGGTTTTTTGGTCTGTTTGCTGACCCGACAAGATGCAAAACAAATTACATTCAAGCGATTCTTGCTGAAATTAAACCAAAGGCATGTCAGTTAACAAAGTTAAAGCAGAGACAGTTGGATAAGGAAGTGGAGAACTGCATAAAGGAAAGCAGTCCACAGCATATTTGTGGAAGTTGATTCATACAGTTTGGTAAGAATTAAGTACACAAACCCTCATTATAACAGTGTAAGATGTAGTCTACTTAATGTACTCTGTTCCTGTTTTTTCAATTGTAATGATTTGTTGAAAGAAACTGATTCAATAACAAAAATAAACATCAATAGGATATTGTCTCTATCCCACCACCCATATGACTTACAATTTCACAGGGCATATATGTCTATTATATATATATATATATATGGTTTCTTGGTTTCTTGGTTTCTTCATGACAAGTACTGCACTCAAATGGCCTCCATAGTCACAAGATCTAAATCATAGAGCATCTTTTGGGATGTGGTGGAACGGGAGATTCACATCATGGATGTGCAGCATATGGACCAAAATCCCTGAGAAATGTCTCCAGCACCTTGTTGAGTCTATGCCATGAAAAATTAAGGCAGATCTTAAGGCAAAATGGGGTCCAACCCAGTACTAGCAAGGTGTACCTGATAAAGTGTGTGTGTGTGTGTGTGTGTGTGTGTGTGTGTGTGTGTGTGTGTGTGTGTGTGTGTGTGTGTGTGTGTGTGTGTGTGTGTGTGTGTGTGTGTGTGTGTGTGTGTGTGTGTGTGTGTGTGTGTGTGTGTGTGTGTGTGTGTGTGTGTGTGTGTGTGTGTGTGTGTGTGTGTGTGTGTGTGTGTGTGTGTGTGTGTGTGTGTGTGTGTTGCTATTGATTTGGAGTTGTGTGGTGCAGTGGGTTGTGTATCGGTGTTGGGACCAGGGGGTCACAGGTTCAAACCCCGCTGCAGTCAGCATGTCGTTGTGTCCCTGGGCAAGACACTTCACCCCAAATTGCTCATGTGGGGATTGCCCACAGTATTGAGTATGTAAGTCGCTTTGGATAAAAGCGTCTAACAAGTGACATGTAATGTAATTTCTGCTTGTTTTAGTATATTCTAATTAAAGATGCACTACATCTCTCTCAAGTCCCTCTCTCAAATGTCCAAATTCTCCTATCATCAGACATAAAACAAGGCTTTTTGGGTTTTTTCATGCTGTTTAATTTCTGAATGTGAGTGCAAGAGTTCCTTCAGAGGTGTGGTACTTCCCGTGAAACTCGAGTGAAAAGGAATGTAGACAAGCCTGTAGAGTACACAGGGTGGGAAGATCTGCTTGTTCATTTGAAATAGAAAGTATTAAACCAAAGCAACGGAAAAAAAACTTTCCTGGTGTACTGGCAGGTGACACATACTGTGCTACTAAATAATCATTGTGGTTGAAACCACACTAACCACACTGTTAAAATACTCCATTTCAAGTAAAAGTCGAGAATACTACTGAAGTAAACGTATGTAAGTAAGAATAGGAAAATGGACCTAAAGTATTAGGAGTAAAAGTATTGTAAAATTGCAGAACAAACTCAAAACAAAATGTAAGTATTTAAAACATATTTAAAATCAAAAGCAGCAAATCTTCACATTTAAGAGACCAAAAATGTCTGCAAATTCATTTTCTGTTAACCCACTTATGGTTTTAGTTACTTAAATATAATGTTAGATGGTTTCATCTATACCAAGATTCCTATTTTAAAAGTTGTTCCCAAGTATTGTCTGTCAAAATCAGATTTTATCAAGTAACTATCTGTTAAATAAATATAGTTGAGTGAAAATGACAAATATGGGCTTCCAAAATGTAGTAGAGGAGAAGTATAAAATAGCATAAAATGAAAACACTGGTGAAGTACAATTACCTCAATTACTTATGAACATTACTTCAGTAAATGTACTTCGTTACTTGACACCACTGTGTGCAAGTTAAGCTCAAAATACACATAATGTATTGTTGGATTGAGTAGGAATGGTGTGCTACGACTTCTCAAAAGAAACTGTGATTCATTTAAACATTTCAATAAACTGTATACACAACAATGGGACATTGTCTCAAACCCACCAAACCCCTATTACTTAATCATACTTTAACATTGAAAAATGATTCAAATGTTAGGTATTTCAGTTTAAATGTTAAATCAGTTCATCACATGTGTTGAATGTTTCAGTGTTGCATTTAGCCAGCAGGGAGTAGGTCTCTTACTGTAGCTGTGCACAGGTTTCTTTCGCCAAGATATTTGGTTAATTTAGTTTATGGAAGTAAATTGATCCGTACGGGAGGATGAAGAAACCAGGATGGAGTGGTTTGTTGAAAGTTGTACTGACAGTGTACAGGTGGGTCAGTGTATCAGGAAGGACCTCAAAAAAGGACAAAATACCCGCCGGCCAGTCTAGATAAACCCCAACGGTACTCTGGGATGAATTGAATTCATCGTGGACAATAAATCCCTCAGAGCAATTATGTTTAAAGAATCCATCAAAAGTCAAGCACCAAGACTTTTCATTTTCACCGAAAATTGATTCACGTGCGCAGTCTCCCATCCTGTCTATACTTTTGTACGCCACTCCAACGTCAGCCATAGGACACTCAACCTCCCAGTAATGTCGACCGGTCAGACCTTCTTCACAAAGTACTTGACAAATTTTAAATCTGTCTGGATGATCAGGGTATGGCTGCTTCTCCTCAACATAATCTGCCCTTTTGTTGTTTTCTGTCAAAATTGCATTCACGCATGCTGTGTTAGGGTCCAGTGTCAGATCAGACGCATCTGCAAGACACAATAATAAAGTAATTAGTTTTGCTGTGTATGTGTGTGTGTGTGTGTGTGTGTGTGTGTGTGTGTGTGTGTGTGTGTGTGTGTGTGTGTGTGTGTGTGTGTGTGTGTGTGTGTGTGTGTGTGTGTGTGTGTGTGTGTGTGTGTGTGTGTGTGTGTGTGTGTGTGTATGTGTATGTGTGTGTGTGTGTGTGTGGCTATTGATTTCTGCTTGTTTTAGTATATTCTAATTAAAGATGCACGACATCTCTCTCAAGTCCCTCTGTCAAATGTCCACATTCTCCTATCATCAGACTTAAAACAAGGCTTTTTGTTTTTTTTCATGCTGTTTAATTTCTGAATGTGAGTGCAAGAGTTCCTTCAGAGGTGTGGTACTTCCCATGAAACTCGAGTGAAAAGGAATGTAGACAAGCCTGTAGAGTACACAGGGTGGGAAGATCTGCTAGTTCATTTGAAATAGAAAGTATTAAACCAAAGCAACGGAAAAAAAAATGTCCTGGTGTACTGGCAGGTGACACATACTGTGCAATCATTGTGGTTGAAATCACACTAACCACACTGTTAAAATACTCAATTTCAAGTAAAAGTCGAGAATACTACTGAAGTAAACGTATGTAAGTAAGAATAGGAAAATGGACCTAAAGTACCCAATTGTTATTTCCCCAGAAACAGACGGACCTGTGTGTGTGTGTGTGTGTGTGTGTGTGTGTGTGTGTGTGTGTGTGTGTGTGTGTGTGTGTGTGTGTGTGTGTGTGTGTGTGTGTGTGTGTGTGTGTGTGTGTGTGTGTGTGTGTGTGTGTGTGTGTGTGTTAACCTTATAGAGAATAGGGAGGGATGAAACCCTCTTTAACGGTCACACATGCAGAGCACACAGCACACACAGTGAAATGTGTTCTCTGCATTTAACCCATCCTAGTACCAGGAGTCTGTACAGCGCCCGGGGAGCAATGGGAGTGGGGGGGTTGTTCGGTGCCTTGCTCAAGGGCACCACGGCAGGGCAGGAGGTGAACTGGGACCTCTCCAAGTAGCAGTCCACACTCCATACTTTAAGTCTGTTCTGGGACTTAAACTTGAACTTGCGACCCTACAGCTCCCAGTCCAAGCCTCTACTGACTGAGCCACTGCCGGACACATTGCAATGTCATATCTTTAGCATTTTCATAAAAAATAAATGACACTTACACTGTCTCAGTAGCTTCAGGTCGAACCAGCATTCCTCATTTTGGTCCACACTGATGGGAAATACATGGATTTCAAATAAACTTCAAGCCTGCAAATGAATCCTGGAATAATGATAGAAGTGACTGAACTGCCAGTTTGAGCTTACTTGAGTTTCTCTAGACTGCAGCAAGCATCCCTCTGTATGTCAGTCAGCAACGTGACTCCTTTATCTGCCAGGTGATTAAACTTCAGGTCCAACTCCCTGAGGCCGCAGTGTTCAGACCTCAAAGCTGAGGCCATGGCGACACATCCATCTACTGTCACTTTACAAAATGACAGCCTACAGAAATCAAACAACAATGACATATCAGCAGCAATTTTCCCTTGTTAACAAGACACAAACCCCATTTTATATGAATTTATAAGGTGTTCCCTTTAAACCTTTTGACATACAGTAGCATCATGCATCACACAAGTTGACACTTGTAAGATGCAGAAGAAGAATAGGCAAAACTGTTGTATCCTTAACATGGCCAAAACATTTTTAGAAGTACATTTGTATTCAACATTAACCCTCATTTACACACTATACATGTATTTTTACTCAACTCATATTTGGGGATAGCTATCCTTAGGACTTTAGCGATACAGATACTGCTTATTGATACTGGTATTAATTGACACTCTAATCGATAATTTATCCAACATTTTATGCAAAAGAAAAAAAAATGACATGAAAACATGTGAAAAGAGATGTAATGAAAAATAACAACAATGAATTAAAAACAACATTTGAAGAACAAAGATTTTGAATTCATCACCTATTATTCAGGCCACAAACAAAACATAATCAATTCATCATCTAAAACGTTTTTAGAAAAATGTATATTGACGTTCCCTGGGAGAAGTCAAGATCTCTCCTTAGTGATTGTACTTCTGAGTGTTGAAAACACTCTTTCAGCAGGTGCTGATGAGGTCTGAACACAGAGGATAGGGTTCTCACTCTAGTTACCTCTGACAGCACGTCTCACACTAATGTACACCTCTGCCGTGACGCAGACCGCAACAACTAAAACTGTTTCACAGTGGACACCGGGAAAACTAATGACATTCATGTACAAATCGCTGTTTACGGAGTTTCTTTATTCACCCATGATTTGCAGAGCTAGTAGACACACCAGTAGGCTACACAAGTAAAAACTTGGATGGATGTTTAAAGGGCCCATGTCATGGCCATTTCTACTGATCATAATTCCATTGTTGAGGTCTACTAGAATAGATTTACATTGTGCAATTTTCCAAACTCACATTGGTTTCTCATACAGCATCTCTGTATAGTATGTGTATTCACTCTCTGTCCTAAACGGCTTTTTTGAGCTCCTGCCCCCCCGCGGACTTAACGTAATGGCTCCGCGGATTGGTCCATTTGGAACAATTGGTCCATTTGGGTATGGTTAGGTCACCATACCCAGGAAGAAAAAAATGGGAAATGAAAAATCTCCAACGAGGCGTTCTGGGGCAGCACAAACAGGTCTTTTCTGTTTTTTTTACACTCATACTTTTATTGAGTTTTCACAACAATAATAACAGAACAACAAAACATAATACACACAAATCAATTGTAAAATAAAGCACAACAAATACTAGTTGTCTGAAGACCTTCAATATTCACACATACCGTACAGGATTGAATTAGTCATTCACTTACTCATTGGTGTCAACCATGTAAATATTCCACTTTTCCCATTTCCTATTGAATGCATTCTCTTGGATTCACAAAACATATGTCAACTTTTCCATGACAAAAAAATCTTGAACAATTTCCAGCCACTGCTCCTGACTCGGAGCGTTCACATTAAGCCAATTTCTGGTTATAGCTTTCTTACTCGCTGCAAGTAAAACCTTAATCAAATATAGATCGCCTCCCATCACAACATCCTTAATGTTCCCAAGATACATCACCGGGCAGGTATTTGGGATTCCATAACCCATAATAAATTTGACAACTGCATTAACCTTCTCCCAATATGACCTTATCTTTGTACAGTTCCAGAAAATGTGTGAGTGGTCAGCCTCCATGTTCCAGCGACGTGCAGTCAGCTAAAAAAGCTTTTGAAAATAACCGAATATTTCGATTAAGGTCAAAATATAATATTTGTAAATCTGACTCTGAAAGAGTCAGTGCCTCACCAGCCATGAACCTCACCGCACGTCACTGCCATGTTCCCACACAACCTCCAACACTGTTGCTGTACACCAAGTTGCCTGCTCTTTATTTTGGGTGTTATGAAAAAGCGAGTCAGGTTCTTCCAGCAGAATTCCCTCCATACTAATGAGTTTGTGGATGTAAATTGCGTCTCGAACATTTGAAACCATTCTTCCTCCATTTTTATTTGTAACTCTGCTTCCCATTTTGCTTTTATGTAGATAGTCGATTCCCCCCTGTTTCCCCCCAAAGCCTGGTAGAAAGCAGAAATGATCCGAGACCCCTTCTGCTGATACGCATCCACAATCACCCCAGTTACAGTATCTAAAGATTCATCTGCATTCAGCCTTATCTCTTTTACAAAATAGTGTCTTAACTGCATGTATCTAAAATAATCCCTGTCTGTAATACCATATTTTGCCTGACACTGTCAAACGCTTTTTCTGCGTCCAGACTAACCAGAACCATACTTGTGCCCTTTTTATGTGCATTGTCTACAATATGGAGAGTCCTTCTGATATTGTCTTGTGTTTGGCGCCCCCCAATCCAGTTTGATCTTCATGAATAAGATCTGGCATAAAAGTCTCAAATCTTTTACAGATGATTGAGGTAAACAGCTTGTAGTCCACATTTAAAAGAGAAATTGGCCTATAATTTTTACAGTGGTCTTTGTCTTTGCCTTCCTTGGGCAAAATGGAAATAATTGCTTCCCTCCAAGATGGGGGAGCCCTGCCTTCTTTAAGAGTCCAATTAAAACAAGACAGAAGCAGAGGTGTTAGCTCCTTCGTGAAAGTTTTATAGAACTCTGGTGGGAACCCATCGCTGCCCGGTGATTTACTGGTCTTTAGCCTACTGATTGCAGCTTCCAGCTCTTCAACTGTAAATTGCGACGTAATGGTGTCATTCTGTATCTCACCTATAGATGGCAGATCAAGCGAGTTAAGAAAGTTTCTTATTGTGCTTTCATCAGCTAATGGTGGATTAGAGTAGAGTGTCTTATAGTACTCTTCCAGTGGCGAGCCGTCAGGGCCCTTTAGGCCCTCTGTGAGGGCCTAAGATATTCAAAAAAATTATATTTAAAAACATTTAAAAAATATATATATTTTTTAAATATATATTTTTTTTATATTATTTTTGTTATATTTTTCATTAGTTTTACCGAAAAAAAACTTGATTTAATTGTATTTAAAATAACATTTCCAAAGAAATAAATCCTTCGAATCTGCCTGTTCAGTCTCTGTTTGAATGTGAATGGTTACATGAAAGAAGCTCGTCTGGCCCTCTCTGCGATTCACAGAGGGCCTGCTATAGTAACTGAACGAGAGAGTAATGTCAAATGACAGTACAATTGACCAATCATATCTTCCCTCTAAATGGGTGGGTTTTATTATCGCGGACTTTATGACAAGTTCCGCCCGCTGTGAAACTTTTCTTGTTTCCATAGCAACAACAACTTCCTGTCAACAGCGTGAACTCGCCTTCAAAATAAAAGCATGCCAAATTACACTTAAGACATACAACTGCAACGAAAGTAACAAACACAATGCAATATCATTTTCAATGTCAAAGAACACAAATTGGGTTCACAGGTGTTGTTTTGTGTGGTAGAGGGTCGCTGTCATTGATGCGTTTTGCACCCTGGGCCGTTGTTTTGATATTCCGCTGAAGTATATGCTGTGACGTAATAACTATTTTTTTTTCTTTTTTTCGAGGGAATTGGTGGGGGTCAGAGGGCCTAGGTATAAAGCTCACGGCTCGCCACTGTACTCTTCAAATATTCTTTCTATCTCATCTGGCTCATACAATAGTTGATTAGTTTGGGGGTCCCTTGTTCTATGAATTGTATTAGAGCAGGGGTCACCAACCTTTTTTAGGGTGAGGGCTACTTTAAAAAAAAAAAACAAGTCGGGGGCTACTTTTACTTTTCTTTTCTTTTTTTGCGGTGTATATATTTAGCACATTTTAACATTATGATATGCTGACCTTTAACCTTTGTTTGCTGTTTGGGTCTGTGGGACCCGTTTGCAGTGTTTACTAAAAGAACATGTATGCAATCTAATTATTTTAACCTGCTTTATTTGGGGGTGGACGGGCCTCACCTCCTCCAGGGGGGTCCTCACCTCCTCTAGGGGGGTCGGGGGGCATGCACCCCCAGGAAGATTATTTTTTAATGTTGAAGTGAAATGCATCAATCTGGAGCACTTTGAGCACCAGATGAATTGATGGAAACAGCTCTCATCACTCAGATGAAAGAGAGCTGTATACTTTTCAATAATCCAAACATCATAGAATATGATCACAACCAATAACAAATCATTTAAACTGGTTTATTCTTATTTTATGTAATCTAGTTAGCATTTTTTCTTTTTATGTATGCTTATTTTACTAATCACTCCCCTTTCAAACTGTTTTTTGATTTTTTTTTTTACTGTCCTATAGTACACATTGGAATGATTTCTTACTTTATCTATATTAAATAGATAAAGGTATGCTCTCCCTAGCTCTCTCTCTCTCCCTCCCTCCCCCCCCAGCTCTCTCGCTCTCTCTCTCCCCCTCTCTCTCCCCCTCTCCCTCCCTAGCTCTCTCGCTCGCTCTGTCTCGCTCGCTCACAGAGGCTGTGAGCTCCTCCGTGGCGATCGACGGCTTGCGTTAAAAAATAAAAATAAACATATTTTTAAAGTGGGGGGACACAAACGGGATTTCGAAAAGTGGGGGGGACATTTCCCCCTGTCCCAGGTGGAAATTACGCCATGCGTGTGTGTGCGTCAAGTGCAATAAAGATATGCAAGTTGCAACACACAGAGTAAAACTCTGCCCCCCATGTGTTGTATAGGCTGCATGATAGGCTGTTCAATGGGGCTGATGTGTAGATTCTGCCAGAAGGAAAATCAGCGGGGAGGTGCCACATTGCTTTTCTTCCAGACTGCAACGCTGGTCCCGCAAATCAAGCAAGAACGTGATTGGTAGATATTAATTTTGGGGGTGGGGGGAGGAGGGGTGTTAGATAGATATAGAGTTGTAGTAAGTAGATAGAGTTCGCTATGATTTAGGTTTCGTTTATGCATAGGGTAGATTCTTTTAATTACATTTCCTTTTTTATTTTGTGTATTTTATACATTTTGGATTTGCTTGGCGAGCTATTTTTAGAACATGCCCCGCGGGCGACTCACGTTGCCCCTGCGGGCGACCAAGTGCCCGCGGGCACCGTGTTGGCTACCCCTGTATTAGAGGCTTGCTGTTTGCGCAGGCGTCGAGCCAGGAGTCTAGCTGCTTTTGAGCCCGATTCATAAGACTGCTTTAAAAACCTTGCCTTTTTTTCAATTTCTCCTCTGAGGATCTCATTTATCTCCCCCCTTGTTTCCTTAATTTGATGTAATGCCAATTGATCCCATGTACTCTTATGTTTTGTCTCCATTTCCCTCAATTTTTCTATTTTGTATTTGTATGTGGCTAGCAGGGCCTTTTTTTGTGATGCTGTTAGGGCAATCAGCTTTCCACAGAGAACAGCCTTCAAAGCATCCCACAGTATCCCAGGGTCCACATCCCCATTATCATTCTCCTCTATATATATTTGTATCTCTTCCCTTAACTGTTCCACGGTCGCCTTATTATTCAAAACACCCACATTGAGCCTCCACACTGCATTCTTTTGTCTACTGTTCAGATTTATTGACAAGCTAATCATATTATGATCCGAAACATCTGCCACCCCGATTTTACTCTCTGTGATCCTGTGACTTTCACCCGTATTTATTAAAAAGTAGTCAATTCTGGAGTACACAGAATGGGGTACTGAATAGTGTGTATAATCCCATTCTAGGGGGTGAAGTTCCCTCCAAATATCAATTAGTCCCATTTCCTGCACTGACGCATTAACAAACTTGGTCAGGTGCTTCTTGCTATTTTTGTGGCTTGTAGTGTCTATGATATGATTCAGGACCACATTAAAATCCCCTCCACATATCAAAATACCCTCAATCTCTAATGCAATGACGTCAAACAGATTTTTAAAAATAAATTTCACCAATTTCACCACTGCATTTTCAAGTTTTCCTTTCACTAATACATACCGTCCCTCTTTGTCCCTAACTTCTTTATGGAGTTCAAATTGAACTGCATTTGAAATAAGGATAGCCACTCCCCTCTTCTGGCTAGGTTTGTAAGAACTATAGAATGTATTTTTAAAACCAAAGCGTTTTAATTTTTCATGCTCCTGTTGAGGCAGATGAGTTTCTTGTAAAGATAGTACTTGGGCCTTTTCTTTTTTCAATTTAGCCAGGACCTTGCTCCTTTTAACTGGATTATTCATCCCATTTACATTAAGTGACACCAATTGTATGTTATTGTACGGCATTTAAATTACCCAATCCTTTGCATTCACAAAACTCCAGACAACTGAAACTACACAGACCTGGACATCTGGCCTACATGTAGTGAACGTAGAACGTAAAAAGAAAAACGTAGACTTCCAAGGTAGGGTGATTCCTCGCCACCCTAAGTCCCCGTTGGCAGGAAGAGGGGAGAGCCTCCTCCTGGAGGGCCCCTCACTAGAGGTGAAACACGCAATCTCACGCATCCTAGTAGTCCAACGGCATCCGATAGCATTTATATAATCCAAATGAAGTCGTGACAAATATATACAGTGAATATATATATATAATATGAATCAGTTAGTCTCGGGAGGGATCCGCTCATACTCTTGTAGCCTCTTCCTTACTCTGCTCGCGGTCTCGTCCCCACCTGCACTACTCTCTCCGACGCGCTGCCATGTCTTGGTCTGGTGGAGACGCTCCATCTCCGGGTACATCAATGTGCATCCTGTCGAGAGGTGTCTGGAAACGTATATTTTTCTCTTTAAGGACCCTCTTTATTCCCACGTACACCTTGCGCTTCAGGACGACCTCCGTTGCATAGTCGTGATCGAACGATAGACGTCGCCCTTCCATCAGTATCTTTTTTTCCCAGGCCTTTTTCAGTACCCTTTCTTTGGTGGTAAACTCCAGAAAGTTCACCACTATGGACCTTGGCGGTGCATTCCTTTCCGGTTTGCGAGCCACAGCTCTATGAGCGCGTTGTATCTGTAGGTTGGTGTCCGGTAAAGCGAGTTCAGTTTTCAAAAGTTGATCCACAAAGTCAGACATGGAGTTACCTTCCTTCTCTTCGGGTACTCCATAAATGCGCATATTATTTCTCCTGGATCGACCTTCCAAATACACCAGTTTCCCCTGCATGGCTCTCTGTTCTTTCATTGATTTAATCAACGCATCTGACATAGCCATGTTTACTGTCTCCGCCTCATCGATTCGTTCCTCCGCTTCTTTCAGCCTAGTTTCGTGGGCCTGGGTTAGCGCGGAGTTTTTGGTCAATTTCCTGCTTCATATCTTCGAGTTCAGATTTCATGTCTCCCTTGATTTCTTCTTTAAAGTTTGTTTAAGTCCACTTTATGCTCAGCCCTGAAATCGCGTATTTCCTGGAGCACTGAGCGCATGGTGTCTGCCGAGTCCTGTTGTGAGCTAACGGAGCTAACGGAGCTTTGAGCGTCTTCCATCTCCGGTGAATTCTGTCTTTCTAGTTTGTCACCTTTCTTTTGACTTCTAGTTCTCTTTCCCCCTCTCATTCCAATAAAATTACATCGATTTGTATATTACTTGGCGAGTTAAGGGGGTTGATTTCCAATCGCTATCGAGAGCTAAAAATTAAGCAGCCATCTCACTCGCCTTGCTCACCGGAAGTCTCTGTGTTAGAGTTTTAATTGCTACAGGGTGTACTTTGAGGGCTTTTGACTCTGCAGACCGTTTACATGCAGAAAAAGCTTTAAAGTTTGGCTAACTTAACTAGCAAGCAAGTTAGACAGTTATTTGCTACTGAACATACCTAATCAAACTGGACTACGCTGTAGTGAAGCCCTGTAAGTCTTTTACAATTAATTTAGCAGTACATCTGCCCCAGCCAATCATGAGGCGAGCATGGCCACAGCTTATTAGCATTAGACACCTAGCTGTTTGGCTAGAAATACTCAAGAACTAATCATTACGTATTGATGAATACATTTCTAATATAATTGAGACATTACACTACCTTAGTGTTTTCAAACCACATTGTGGTTTTGTCAGTGCAGTACAGAGCGCCATCACTCCTGAGTCGCGCAGGTCATTGTAGCTCAGGTCTAGTTTTGTCAGACGGGAAGATTTGGAGCTGAGTGCTGAGGCCAACATCTTACAACCTTTCTCAGTGAGTCTGTTGTGACTGAGACTGAAAGACAAATGTATAAATATTGTTTAATTGCTTAACATAATAATATGTTACCTAGTATATTCACAATTTAGTTTTTTCGATGTAAAATGAGTTGAAGTTGACTTTCTCAGACATTATTGGGCTTATTAACATACTTCCTTACTTCAACACCTCCAGGTTACAGTTTGTGCTCATCAGCCCAGTAGAGAGGATCTCCATTTCTGAGTCTTTTAAACTGGTGTAACTCAGTTCCAGTTCTTGTAAGGAGCATGGCTTGGATGCAAGCGCAGCCACAAACTCCTTAAAGATTTTTGCAATCCCCTGATTTCTGTTCAGTCTTTTGGTACACAGGTGAAAAACATTACATTAATTTAACAAATAAATAAATAGATAATTCCACTTTGCCAATTTGACTTGTGATCTAAAACAATTTGACATAAAAGTAGAGTTTCGAATCAAAGACAACTTTTTTCTGGATTAGCTGTTTGAGCAGATCATGTATTCCTAAAATAGATATATCTTCATAGAACAAATACATAATTCTGCCAGATGACATATAATCAATCAAGTTAAAAACCTTGTTTTCATACTTCAACATTTTGGGGAATAACATGTATGAGACTGACCTGAGCTTCTCTAGTTTAGGGCTGAACAGTCCATCAGAAAGCAAAGGGTATAATGTATCGACCATTATTTTGCCACTCAGCTCAAGTTCCCTTAGAGTCTCCTTTTTGATGACTGATTTGATAGCTGATGCCATTTCTTCTTGTAAAGAGTCTTTAGTTGAGAAACTTTAAACACACCAGACAAAAACAGGCAAACTGTCCCGAGTGCATGTACAGTATAGCAGCAACAGCAACAACAACTACTCGGCAACACTGACTGAAAGTGGGTGAATTATGTTTGTTATTGTCCTTGTCGCTTAATAATCCTCTTAATAATTCTAAGAGGCCAATTTCCACTGGAATTATATAAAATCAGCTATGGTAAAATTACCTATGGTTTAATGTAATTCACTTCCAACCCAATTCATCCACAAGTACTACAAACAACAGAAAAGAAAAAAGAAAGAAAAACAGCATCGCACAAAATAATAGTTTTACTAACCTTAGAGCTTCAAGGTTACACTGAGAGTTTTCAAGTCCATTACCCAAGATCCGTGCACCTTTGTCACTTAAGGATATATTGATCAGGTGTAGTTCAGTAAGCACAGAGTTTGGCTTCCGAAGAGCTGATGAGATCGTTTCACAAAGGTAAACATCAAGATTCACCCCTGAAATTCTGAAATAAATAAAATAGAGAATAATACAAGATCAATTAAAGTTTCAGTTTAAGATATATTATTATGTTTCCACTTTGCAGGTAAATTACAAATATGTAAGCCTTTCAGCTTACATACTGTAATTTAGATTGTTGTTTTTTTTGTGATTGCAGGCAATGTATTTATTCCACCAGTAACCAACCCACCTTGCTTTTTTGCAGTTCCTCACAGCTGGGACCAGCCTAAAAATACCGTTTGCTGAAGGTCTGTATTTCTTCAGGTTGAATTCTTCTAGGGGCTCTTTTGACATTATAATTGAGTTGGCCAAAGCGGAGCACTGAAAAGGGGAAAGCTGTGTTTCTGCATCATGATCTGGTTTCAAATACTTCTGCACAGTATCGTGTATGGAACTGTCTTTCAGCTCGATCAGGCAATGAACAAGGTTCAGGCATCTTTCAGGGGGGCAACTCATAATATCTATTCCTACAAGACTTGTTCTTATTTCCTCAACAACTCTAGAGTGTTCCTCTTTCTGCTGAATCAAGCCTTGAAGCAGTTCTTGTGTTGATCGTAGGGACATGCCAATAAGGAACCTCAGGAACATGTCCAGTTCTCCTGTCTTCCTCCGAAGAGAATTAGCTATTGCAATTTCAATCAGCTCATCCAAAGGTAAATCAACTGGATCTGCATCCAAGATACACTTGAGCTCTTTTTCGGACCCTTTGAGCAGGAAATTCATGAGACTTGGGGAATCTATCTTTTTACTTGCAAAACTGCGGTACACAAAGAGAGCGGCAAAGTACTCCTGGACTGTCAGATGAACAAAGCAGTAGAGTTTCTTTCTGTACAAACCTTCCTCTTGTTTGAATACCACTGTGCACAACCCACAGTCAACTCCAGCTTTACGTATGTCAATGCCATATTTTTCTAGATCCTTGTCAGTAAATACGATAGTGCTTTCAATCAAATATTCAAATGCCATCCTACCTAATTTAAAAATGAATTCATCATTTGACTCGAAGATCTCCTCTTGATCTAACCCGTTTTCTTCGTCATACTTTTCGGTAGCTACCTGCATTTGAATGCAAAGGAAGTGTGTGTACATTTCGGTAAGCGTTGTGGGTATCTTTATGTCTTTATCTTGAGTATTGTCCATTCTTAGCAGCAAAACTGCAAGAACTTTTGCCGCAATCCAACAGAAGATAGGTATGTGACACATAATGTACAAGCTCCTGGACATCATAATGCTGTCGATAATTCTTGCAGCAATTGACTTGTCCTCAACTCTCCTTTGGAAGTACTCTATTTTTTGTGGATCATTAAATCCTCTGACCTCGGTCCACCGGTATACATGACGTCTAGGGATGCGCTGAACTGCTCCTGGTCTTGAGGTTATCCAGACATGAGCAGAGGGAAGAAGATCTTCCCGGATGAGGTTGGTCACAAGAGTGTCCACTGATGATTCTTTGGTGACATCTGTCAATAGTTCTGTTTTCCTAAAATTAAGTTGAAGCTGGCTTTCATCGAGACCATCAAAAATGAACAAAACGTTGTGATCAGCAAATACTCTTGCAACTGATATCTTTTTAAGTTCTGGATGGAACTCTCTCACAAGTGTTTCAAGGCTATGCTGATTTTTTACCAGATTTAACTTCCTGAATGGTAGCACAAAGATGAAGTCCAAGTCCTGATTGGCATTCCCGTCTGCCCAGTCAAGAATGAACTTCTTAACAGACACAGTTTTTCCAATGCCTGCAATTCCCTTTGTCACCACGGTCCTGATAGCTTTCAAGTCCTCTTGCTGAGATGACACACTATCTTTTAGTGTACTTTTAAAGATGTTGTTGCAATGAAGTTTAGTGCACTCCTCAGCTTTTTGACTCCTCGCCTTGTCTTCAATCTCCCAAATCTCATGTTCTATATTGACACGTTGTACTCCCTCTTGTTGCCGATCTTCTTGCACAATGTGAAGCTCTGTGTAAATGTTGTCCAATGATTGTGCCTCCCCACGATCAGTATCAGGGCCTTCAAACTCGTATTTGAACTGTTCCCTCAGGTGTGCTTTGTGAATTTTGATGACTTCTTTGACGAAATCTTCTGCTGCAATGAACAAGTGTTGTGATGTCAAAGCATAATCAAAGCAGTATCTTGAGGGCTACAGCAATCCTGCACTGTGTAATACATTTGTTAATCTTGTAAATTGCTACAATGTTTTTTCAAAATGCTATTTGAATAAAAAGGCTGGAAATACCTGTCAAATTATTTTGTTTGAATTATATATTTGACAAGTCGGTTTAACCTAACCCTAACCCATAACCCTACGCTTACCATTATAGACATTATCCTCATTTTGTATACAAGTTATCAAAAAGTCATCACATACTTTCACAAATCCCTGGCTGTTTTTCTTGAAGGATTCTATAGAAGGCAGATTTGACTTTTGAAGTTGTGAGGGTTTTGTAGACTTCCCTCATCTGATTCTGGATGGTTTTGGCAGCTTCAATGTTGGCATACATCTCCTTTCGTATGATTTTCCGCTGAAGCAACTCATCAGCTACAGATGGAGCCTCTTATTTTGGACCCCAGCATACAGCTTCCTGCCGACTGCCAGCCAGTTGCCAGCCAGTTGCCTGCCAAAGACCAGTATTCAGGAATGTTAGGCCCTCCCACTATTCTCCAATTTCAGGGTTTAACCAGGAGATGGCGCTATATATTAAATAACTAAGACTTAGTTTTTCACAATAGAAAATGCAGATATTATATAAAAAACTAAAGTTAAAATCTTGTTTTTAATGCCCCAAGAGCAATAACATCTTGTCACAAGCTTTTTGGAAGAAAAAGACTGACTCAAGAGACCTGTAGTTGACTAATTACAGGCCTCAATAAAGTTCTGCCATTGGTTGTGAAAAACAACGGTGGACATAGTGGAAAGTGAAATTGACATTGTCGAATTTAATAAAAATACAAAATAATGTATCTGTGTACGTGTTTTACTATGTGATCTGCACTTATCAAACATCTAATTAAGGCGAGACACCCCAGGTGAATAGGGTATTTTTAACTTAAAGATATCAGCTAAATATTTCTCCAGTTAATTACTTACAATAAGGCAATTGTTTTTTGTATTACAAGTTTTCTGAAATAGCATGTTTAAATATCCAAATGAACCATTATCTCATGAAATATGCGCATATTTTAACACATTTCAGGAACCGAAATCTGAACTTTGGATAAAGCCAGGATCAAAATTATTGTTTCATTTTGTAGTCATATTAGTATCTAAGGCTTTTACAGAAGGGATTTTGGATATCTCTTTGTATCACTCCATAAATCAGAAAATACTGTCAACAGCCCTAAAATATCAATTTTCACCATGTTTTTAGGTATAAAATGTTATATAATTCAGGCTATGAATTATATATGACCAAACCCTTCTGTAAAAGCCTTCATAATATTGATAGGAATATAACTGGAAGGTTTGGTGTATGTAACTGCTGAGTGATTCTACAATTTAGGGTACATTCCATGTCCATTGATGTCCATTGATGATAATTATAATTATTCTAACTATTTTCTTCAAAAATATCATATTTTGCCTATTATTGGAAAGCATGTTATAATATCACACAAACATTATGTGCATCCTATGCTTTATTTAGCTTGAAATGTGTCATGATGTTCTTAAATTGTCAGTTTTTGCTATGTCCGTTTTTCAGTTGAGGGTGTCTTGGATTCAAAATAATGAATAAAAACCATTAAAGTAAATTTAAAAAATGATTCATTTATTTCAAAAGTCTAAATACTAAAGAATAATAACATATTTTTAATTGATTTCCCCCTTTAAATAATTTAAATATCTTAATATATGAATGTCCGCAAAAGTTCTGTCAACTATGTTACTAACAGAACTTCCCCCTTTAACTCAAAAATTGTTTGTCCCAATACCATGTCACCAGCATCACATGATGCCATGTTCCTCTTTGGCAGACATTTTGAACACACTGTGGTGATTGACCTCTACATTTTTACAATATTTTATGTATAATAGCACATGGTCAATTAATATACTCATTGACAATCAACAATGTTACGTACATTGTTATGGTTTACAATTGTTTAATGATTTTAATTCAATTATATGTGCAAATGTGATGTTAACCTGTTCAAGAAAATGACATGTGGTCATCCAGGCAAGGCCTACCATTGAAATGATGGGTCAAAATAGGGAAATTGTCAACTAGGTTACCTGTCAACTGAGTTACCCAGTACTGTAATAACTGTAGTAACTTAGTTGACAGGTAACCTAGTTGACAATTTGTACGACATGTAGACGTCATTACACATCATTATCAATGGAATTTTGCACTTCTGCCTTGAAATTAACATAGTGCTGATGGTTAATAATGTGTCCAGTCAACTATGTTATTTGCGTCAAATGTTTGACTTTCATTGTCAACTATGTTGCACCTCATTTTTTCAAATTTAAAATATCTAAAATAGTGCTTCTGATATCCTTTATAGTATAATGTATATCTACACAGGTTGGAGTTTTACATGACATCTCTTAAAACTATCAAAATGACCTGTATGGTAGTTTTATAATACAAAATATCCCTAAACTTAATGACAGTGCTGAACATATCACATGAAAAAACAAAACTTTAATACAATTATTTTTTAAACTTTAAAAAATCTTTGGATATATGGTAGAATAGACTCAAGAGCCTTTCAAATTTGATTTTACTTGAAGTGCAGGACTTAATCAAATGATTGTAATGACATCAAGTTTGTCCGTAACATAGTTGACAAACTGAGTAGTGAAAACATCCTTTCCCTTAAAATAAAAAAATATATAAAAATGTTTAAGCTTTGCAACTAGTGGATATGTTACACTGAGGAATATACTAACTTGAACCACTGATTGTTCTATCTATACATTTTATTTGGCATTAGTAAATAATTATGCACATTTACAGATATTTTACATGATATGAGTGATAACACGTGTTATAAGGGCTATTTCGCACAATAGGTGTGCCTTGAGATTTTTACTTGTCCTTTGGTGTGCCTTGGGCACAAAAAGTTTGGGAACCACTGCTGTAGAGAAATGTAAACGTTCACCATCCCCCACCCGCCTACTGTATGTTGCTTTTTGACATGTAAATGGATAACTACCCCCCTCTGAGTGAATACCTGTTGTACCTGTCCGGGGCTAAGCCCATAGGACGATGCTCTGATGTCATCACCCTCGCACATTGGTCATATGTTTACAAAAAACGATGTTAACACTTTCTCGTTCTTAATATATGCTATATTTAGGGTCGATATGTGTTGAATTTACTTTAAAATAGCAGATCACTGTGATTCACTTCTCCGCGGCTCCTCCGTGCAGAGAGGCCCCCCCCCCCCTTGACAATTCACGAGCGTCTAACTCTCTCCCCCCTGTGAAGAGATATCACAGGGGGGGGTTGGGACACACACATTCCGATGGCCAATTCGTTTTAAACAAAGAGTGGGGTGGGGGCTGGTGAACGGTATGGTCAATGTTTGTAAACACTGTGACATTTTGACTTTATTTGATCATTTCAGTTAAAAACTAACGTTCATATTTCATATTACTGTTTTGCCTGGCTGGACCTGTAATTTACAGGAAAGGAGTGCACGCTACTAAAGAGACACGCTACCATGGAAACCAAACAATGGTGTTGCTGTATTGAAGTCCGAGTGGAAACAGTCATATTTGGAGCGTTATGTTAGAATGAAACAGCGAGGTCGTGACTCACAAAAAAAAAGTGTTACTTCACTAACTGTAAGCTTGTCACTCAGAGTAACCTACAGTTAACTTAACTGTTGGAAAAGAAAGATCAGAGTTAGGAGTGTGAACACACAGCTGAGAGCTGCCGTTTCATTCTGACTGTTTAAAAAACGGTAACAACGGACTATTTTTCTTAGCGGATGCATGTCAATTTAAATCAATACATAGAACTATGTTTTAAATCAATAAAAATATTTTCTAAATCCATAAAAGCATTTTAATTAATATTGGGAGTCATGTCGTTACTTTGTTGAGAATGTGGCCATGTAATAAGCGGGATAATTTGCAGCGACTTGGTCATTATGGGGAAAAATAACACCCAGGGATCAGTAATTTTTAGTGAATTACTGAGTTTAGGCACGTTAATAACATTTTAATGAAGTTGAATACAGTATATTCATATTTGTCAGTGATTTCATGTCAATTCGGCGAACATAAACGATTAAATTAGGATTAAAAATCGAGAGCCGGCTGCTGTTCGTTACGGTAACCCAACTAGGACACTTGACACAGTGGCTTTTGGCAAAGCACACAAAGAAAACAAAAAAAACCGAGAGAGATGAGTTATTGTTATTACAACGTGACTTCACTATTATTTAACAACTATTTTTATTGGGTTCTTTTATTTGGGGTTAAGTACATTGTCAGAATAAGTGAGAAATGGATTTAACTTCTGTTAGACAGCTATCATACTGAATAAATATTTATGCAAAAATGTATGGCATTAATAATGTATATCTAATTACATTTAAAAATGTATGGCATTAATAATGTATATCTAATTACATTAACTGTGAATGTCTTTCATTTTATTTAAAATGAAATAAAATTACATAAAACATTTTCCATAAAAAAGTTGATTCAAGAACAAATCAGTACTTTTCTTATATGACTATTATTGCTAAATTTGAAAGGTCTTTACCAGCTTTGGAATTATATATATATATATATATATATATATAGCACCTTCTGCCATCCCATCTCTACTGACATATGGATCTTAACAAAGATCCGCTATACATTAGTACCAGATATACTGTACACGGACATTTTAGTGAACCAGACCAGCTGTTTCCGCCGGGTCTTCGCTTCCCGGGCATCACGTTGTTTACAAGTGTGTTCAGATGCTAAATGACAAGTGCAAGTGACAATTGTTGTCGTCTTCTCTGTGAACGTTTTTTTCTCCGTTATTTTGCCATTTTCAGATTTAAATTTCGAGCGGAAAGCTAACCAGGAAGTAATAATTACTTAAGCGGAGAACGGAGAAAGTAAACGTTACAGCAGGCATAACAACAGCCGGTGTTTATTTTATTATAATATTCAAGAACAAATCAGTACTTTTCTTATATGACTATTATTGCTAAATTTGAAAGGTCTTTACCAGCTTTGGAATTATATATATATATATAGCACCTTCTGCCATCCCATCTCTATATATAATATCTATCCGTGACATATGGATCTTAACAAAGATCCGCTATACATTAGTACCAGATATACTGTACACGGACATTTTAGTGAACCAGACCAGCTGTTTCCGCCGGGTCTTCGCTTCCCGGGCATCACGTTGTTTACAAGTGTGTTCAGATGCTAAATAAAAGTTTAGCTTGTACTTTTGATACCCCGCCTCTCGGCACCACAACATCCAGTTTACTGTATTTCACATGAGCGATGTCGAACATTGAAAAGTCCTTATAAAATCTCTGTTATTAGATCAGTACTTTTCTTATATGACTATTATTGACTTGAACACTGAGAATGTATTTATTAACTTCAGACATTTGAAATATTTGAAATCAGATGAAAACAAACTGTAACGGACCCTGCCGTGTTATCTATGATTACTATGCCTTACTGTACATTCATAATTTCAGCCGGAGGTAGGTGGTAGGCGTTGCGGAGGAGCAGATTGCGAGTGAGGTGCCTGTTCTAAACGAACTATTCCAGCTGTTATAAAGCATTAAATAAAAAGTAAGCAAGGAATACAGAATGTTTCGTTACGTAACTTTGTTGAGAATGTGGCCATGTACATGTAATACATGGGATCATTTGCAGCGACTTGGTCATTGTGGGGAAAAATAACACCCATCCTGATCGTTTCAATGAAGTTGAATACAGAATATTCATATTTGTCAGTGATTTCATGTCAATTCGGCGAACATAAACATCAATGATGATGATTAAATTAGGATTAAAAATCGGGAGAGCCGGCTCGTTCGTTTTTTCCGACTAAACAACATCTATTATTTAGAAGTTGATTTCACATGACTCCAGTGTGGAACCCCACTGCACCCCCTGGTGGATCAATGATCCATTGCAGCTGGCTTCACAATAATTAAATGTATTTATCATGGGGGCGGTATCAAGTCTGACTGGGGGCCGGCCGGCCATCACGGAACGTGCATGAACCGATCACGACCCTCGCACTTTAAACTGTCCAAAATAAGACGCTTCATCTGTATTGCCATCACTAGGGGGACGTTCTGAATGAGCTTAGACCTGTTGTTGTCAACCCACTCAGCCTCTTTTAAAAGATGACAAACACATGATGGCACATTCATTTATAGTTTAAACACAAGTAACTGTTACAGGCATGCAACAGAATAAATGGAAATATGTTTGTGATAGGCATTTACAGTTTTTAACTTACTGTTTGTTTAAACTAAATTACGTCATTCAATATTGATTTTAATTTCTAACAATTTTCTAATGAATTGAAATCAACTTTTGACTTGAACTCACCTTTGTTCTCTCTCATAGCTGAAGCAGTATCATGTGTTTCAGAAAGGCTAGGACTGTTACGTGATAAAAACAACAGTTAATGCTGAGAGCTATGAGAATTATTATAAACGATTCAATGTACACATATTAATAATGTTTAGTGACCATGGGAATCTCACCTTGAGGTGTGAACATCAACATCAGTATATCCATGTGCAAGAGAACTGCTGTACTCAATACATGCCGTTTCTTTTGAGGAAGATTCTTCTACTTGACTCCTTAAAGTTTCCTCCTCTGTTGTCTCCTTCATGGCTCCCTCCTCCTCCTTCAACGATGGCTTTCTTTGCATGAGAGGAGACTTTTCTCTACTTTCCCCTTTGGTGGTAGCCTCATCTTCCTTTATTTTACCCTTCCTGAGTGCAGAGCATTGGCTCCCCATGATGTTGTTTCCCAATGACTGCTAGGTGAATCTGTCATTAAAAAATATATTCAAACAACAACTTTTATTTGGATAAATACCATGCTCTGATCAGTGGCGAGCCGTGACTTTTATACCTAGGCCCTCTGACAACCCCCTTCATTACGTCACAGCGTATACTTCAGCGGAATATCAAAACAACGGCCCGGGGTGCAAAACGCATCAATGACAGCGACCCTCTACCACACAAAACAACACCATTTATATAAACACCTATCATGACAGGGCACCCACAGCCAAGTAACAATTAAAAATGAATTAAGTCGGCACGGCGGCCCACATTGAAAATGACTTAGGCCTACCTTTGATGATCAAATCACTTAAACACAAAGTCCATCCTCCTGTCCTTTTGGATGAAGTACTTGATGGCAGGGTCATGCAGCTGATCCTTTGCCACTCCAATTTATCATTGTAACTCAATCTTGAAAATGACTCGGTTAATAATTTTGCAACGATGTCATCACTATCACTGAAGTGAGCCATCATGAACGAACTTATGCTAATTAGCTACTTCCGCCTAGCTTGACCCGTTGTTATAACACACATGCATAAACTTCACAGCGGGCAGAACTTGTAAAGGAAAATAAAGTCCACCCATTTAAAGGGAAGATATGATTGGTCAATTGTACTGTCATTTGACATTACTCTCTCGTTGAGTTACTATAGCTGGCCTGGCCCTCTGTGAATTTACAGCAGGACCACCAATCACCTATCTTCTCAGTAACTAGCAGAGACGGCCAAAGAAGCTTCTTTCATTTAACCCTTCATATTCCAACAGAAACTGAACAGGCAGATTTGAAGGATGTATTTCTTTGGAAATGTTATTTTAAATACAATTAAATCAAGTTATTTTGGTAAAACTAATGAAAAATATAACAAACAACATTTTTTGTATAAAGTATAATATATTTGAATATCTTAGGCCCTCAGAGAGGACCTAGAGGGCCCTGACGGCTCGCCACTGTCTCTGATAAAAACATTATTATATAGGCTAATAAACTCATTTAGAAAGCTGGCTCAGTCAACGCCGTCAAACTGGACACTTTTTTAGCTGTTGTGGAGAGGAGGACTCTGAACAAACTGTTATCAATCACGGATAACCCCACCCACCCTCTCCACCAGCAGCTGGACAGACAGCGGAGCGCTTTCTCTAACAGACTGCTAACTGCAATAACCCTGTATAACAACTCACCTCTAGCTGGCACAGAATTGACTTCCCCATAGTTTGTAAAGTGTCTCCTCTTCAATAATCCAGAACAATTTGCACTACAGCTTTCTGCACAATGATAATGTATATTCAATCCAATGTCTTTTCTATTGTGAATTGTATATACTTAATGCTAATGTCAGTTTTTATTTGTATTTCATTTGTATCTTATTGTATCTTTTAAACGTGTTTAAACTTTTTTTTTTAAACGTCTTTAACTTGTGTAATGCTTGGCACTGCTGCTGGAACTAAATCATTTCCCAATTTGGATAGATAAAGTAAATATCTATCTATCTATCCATCCATCCATCCATCCATCCATCCATCCATCCATCCATCCATCTATCCATCTATCTATCTATCTATCTATTGCTTGGCCTCCAGTATTTCTGCTTAAAGTTTGTTAGAGAACTACGCATCAAAACAACTTTTAACTTAACATAGCACTTTCTCGGATCATCAGCTGTACATTCCCCATGTGTCAAGTCGATCAGATGAACAGTTATTGCAACAACTCAAAATACAGATATTGCTAAATAATACACAAAATACATACCCTTTTTAAATGTTTAGGTCCTGTCGAAAGCTGCAACAGGAACAGAGAACCCCGTTGTATATTCAGCAGGCACAGGAAGGAAGCCTTCAAGTTAGAGGGCTGACCCATTTGGGTGTGTTTGTTTTTTTGTGTGGTTGTTTCAAGGGAGGGAGAGGTAGATAGAGAGCGAGATAAGAATTCAGGAAATTCCTCTGTAACTCTTAAACGTTTCAACAGATAGCAGCAATCCTTTGTGAAAGACAAGCCTGAAAGTCACTGGGCTGCATAGTCTGGTTTGCCATTTGAACAGGTGTTGCTATGATACAGACCTTAAAACAAGGACGTGGGCTCTGGGCATGTTCCATCTGGGAATGTTGTGTTGTTTGTCTATAGGTGAAGAAAAATATAATACAATTTAAGTGAGTTTAATATTGGAAATAGTTAACTCCTTAAACAAGCGGCAATGGACTGGCCTGTATAATCCTATGGGACGAAGCTGGTCATACTTCCTCACTTTCAGAAGGTTTAAAGAGAAAGTAAGAACAAAAATTCATAAATTATTTGATCATTTATTTTAAACGTCAGGCCTCCAACATGGCCACGAGCCCCATCTAAAAACAGAGGCTCTGTCCGAATTACCAGATTACTGGGTTACTTGGCTCTACCCAATAAATTTATATCATTTTATTTTAAACCTCACTTAAAGGTAGGGTAGGTAATTCACTTCAGAAACACTTTATGTTGTATTCCATGGAATGCTCTTAACATCCCAATAGCAATGAATAAATTAAATGCTTTGACAATAAAAATATACACATATTTCATCTGTGGAAGCCGATTTCTCCATTCTTACCTACCCTACCTTAACCCGTTAAGCCCGAGAGACCCCGGTACCGGGGCACTCCCGCAACATCTTGCAGGAAACAGTGTCTGTGGGCATGTTCATTTAATAAACTATGAATGTTGTATATCCATGTAACGGGAAGAAACTCATCTAACTGATCATTTTTATTTTTTTTTCAAAATAAAACCCACAATGCTAACGCTGAGCCTCTGAATTAGCAACGAACAAAAAATGCTAACAGATTACTGCACCGAAATTCACTCACAAAACCTTATTATTTATCTTTTCTGCAGATCCAACACATCGTTTCACATTGTGAGGTGACACAGAATCGATGGGTGCATACATTATCACTCCATGATACGAACTCGCGACTTTATAAACAAAAACAGACATCAAAACATGTGGCGCTAGGTAGCTAAAAACGCTAACATGGTTTACCTGTATCGTAGTCTGGTCAAAAGTGGTCTTCAATGGCATTAAAACGATAAAAAACACTGCTGAAGTTAATCCATAGGTTAATCCAATGTGTCTGTGTCCCTTTGAAATGATTTCTGATAATCCATGAGCAATAAACCTGCTTTTCCGTTTCCAGATGTCAGAGCTATAGGTTCGCTCTGATGCAAAACTGCATGCGCGAAGCCCCCACCTTTTTTTTGTACCATGTGTGTGAGAGGGGAGATTCCCCTTCGATTCTATTGGCTCTAACGGTCAGAAAGAGATGTCAATCACCAAAACGACCAATGGGTTCCAGAGAAACGGTAAAACCCCCATTTCCACCCAAATCACCTCAGAGGTGGAGTTCTTTTTGCTAAATCTCTCTAAAAAGGTCAAATGTCACTTGTTTTGCATCAATCTTGATACAGGGTACTTATTATATGTTGTACTTTGGATTCCTAAAGCTTTTAGTCTACCTTACCTTCATCCAAGGGTAGTTTTCACTATAAGTAAAAAAGAATTTTTGGACGGACACTATAATTTACAGTTTTTTACTATGTTCAATCTGAATTTTCTTTAAAATAAAAAACATCTATATTGTTCTGACTTTTCTACATCCAACTCACAGGTTTATCATTACTTTGAGAAAAAAGATTATTAATTTAACCCTTTTAGAAGGGAAGATATGGTCATTTGTTCTGGAAATGTCATTTTCGAGCCTGAGACCTGAAAAACAGGCTCAGGGCTAAACAGGTTAAAGGAACAATATAATTATACAACACTGCATATGTAAATGTCTACAGTATAGCAACTAATAAATGTTTTAAATAAATAAACATTAAAATGTGAAAGACTCTCCTTCAAAGGCTAACTGCTTTTGAATTTTAAATGAATATTTAAAACGTACACAAAATCCGATTTTATATATATATTACATTCCTTTAAATGGAATATTTAAAATACAAAGCAAAATAAACACAATTTTCACTGCGCTAAACAGCCAAATCGACAAACAGCCGAGAACCTAACTATTATGGAAATATATCTAAAACCACAAGACGTTAATTACCTGTACTCTGTGGTCCATATTGTCTTTTTCTGGGTTCTCTTTAAACTTCCATGTCTCTTTAAATAGCCTTGAGTCAGTGGCTGCGTTTCACTTCTCTTATTTTTCATTTCCTCGCTCCTCGGTCTCGGTCTCACCGGAAGTTGATTTGTCTGCGCCATCTTGAGTAGCGTCCCAATGGCCTTATTTTTGCCCGAGGACCGAGGACTGAGGAGCGAGGAGCGATAATGGAGGAGCTATAATCGAGGAACCACCAGACCATCCTTCGATGAAATCCTCAGACTCGCCCCGCCCCCTTACTGTGTATCGCTCACTGATTGGACGATGCAGCGCATGCAATGATCTGATGCTTCTTGACATGAGAGCAGTTTCCCAGCGGAGTGAAGAAAACACATGAAACTCACGGGACTCACTCCTCAGTTCATACCGTGTTCTGTTTCAATGAATGCATCATTCAGTTACAAATATGTGATATATCTGAACAACAAAGTGCTCAAAAATAATTTTATTCATTTATTGGAAACATTTTCATGATCGCTTTTTTCGTTTTACATTTTCATTTATTGTCATTTCCATTCAGTCAGTCATTAAGTGCTATTTAACATGTTAATGTGCTACATATCCACACAAACAGACAAAGTGTGCAATCCAATGAATGTTAATCTAACTGGGTTTTGATAGATAACATATCTCTCTTTCTTCTCTCAATTATTTTATTTCTATTGTGCACTCTAATCAATATTAATCTAACTATTGTTCGTTTATACATTTTAAGAATGGCGTTTATCTTTTTTGAGAATGAGTTCTTATTTAATGTATTTGGGTCTACAACAGATGATACAAATGTTTATGTCATATGTGTACTAACAGAGGCGGGGGTGTTTGTGCAAACAACGGGGACAGAGCTGGCTGCTGTCAGACGATCAGCTGTGCAGCGTCATCACAAACGGACGTCGCTTCACGTGACGCTCCGGAGGAAAGGACGTCCCATTGCTCTTAAAACTAATTTCCCTGCTTCTCGTGGTTTCCTTGCGTCTCTCCATGCTTCCCTGGTGGGAGGGACTAGTCGCAGGGAAACGACGCAAGTGAGGGACGCAAGGAATCCATTTAACCGAAGTGAAACGCAGCCCGTGTCTCACGTTTTGGGCGCGCTCTCTTCTGACCATATTTGGGAGTTCAACTTCCTTCAACTTCCTGCAGGTTCAACCTCCAACGTCTTGCTGTGGCTGCAGCTGGGTGTTATTGGCATTTTCAGGGGATTGGTGGATTTTGTTTCGTCCCTACACACTGTGCTGGTTATGGCTAGAAAGGATCCGTCTTGTGTAAATATGACGTCACGTTCTCGTTGTAATCGGAGCGGCTCGGAAACACATCTACAGCAGTAACATGCAACATACACATTAATGCAGCAGCAATATTAATAGAGAAACATCAGACATAATAGTAAAACACTGAAAGGGAACATTTTATTGCACAAGGAGCGTTGACTTGCCTGTGAATAAAAAATAAACCATAGTGTTGGTGATCTACAGTGTTGTCATTCTTCTTTGAACAGCAAGACCGCTAACACCCTATTTCAACAATCACAATCCCTGTAATTGACATAATTAATAGATAGTTTAGCTTCTCACCATCATTTGCTGTGGCCCACTGATGTTAACGATCGTAACTGAAAGGCTGCCTGCCAAACGTAAACATTCAGCCACGTGACTTGCAAACTCTCGCGAGAGTTTTACACAAGACGGATCCTTTCTAGCCATAACCCACTGTGCTGGAGGAGCACCTGAAGACCGCCACCGTTTTCAAAGGGACGTCAAAGCCGTACACCACATTGATTTTAAGAATAAGAATAATTATTATTAGTTGGTTACATCTTCAACTTTTTGTATTACTGTTAATTATACCGTTGTTCTGTAATATATATATATATATACATACATATACATATACATATATTATATATATATATCATGTATATATTATGTACATATATATGTATGCAAGTATTGCTAATGCCATTGTTTTTAAGTTTTTGTACATAGTCCTCAGTCTCAAATGCTTAAATTGTTTATGGAGGTATTAACATTTAAGACTGGTAAATTAACACTGAAAACTCCTGTTTTCTTTTGCATTAAGTCATACTGGGATGTTTGCTGAAAGTGATTGCATGTGGCACAGCCCTACCTAGAAAGAAATCCACCAGCCACCACTGGTGTTTGCCAACAATTTTAATTTGCTTTCTGATTTCCTTATGTCTGTTTCCTGAGCACTGATTCCCCTTAGTGAGACAGCCGATCAGAGTATCTACTTTTGCCTACAACCTGCTGAATCAGCGGAGAGACCAAAAAGTATTCAGTTCAGAGTTTATATGGTCCAAACTTGAACATTAAAAGCTCACAAAATTGAAAGTAGATCTGCGTTTTCAGGCATACAGTACATTAATATCATCAAATGTTTCTGTGCAAATGTGTTTTAACATCTAGGGTCCCTCTCTATTTTGACATTCAGTCAGGGTGGGAGTGTTCTTTTGTTAATGTTGTATTTGATGGAATATGTCAACACTCTTTTCCAGAAACTCATTTCCATGCAGGATGCGTCACGAGGCCAAAAGGAACTGTATATCTCTTGTGAACAAAGACCTTGTGTCATAGCAATGGAAAATACATTTTCCTGTTTTGCTGGCAGATGACAGATGCTCATTCTTAATGATAATGTATCCTAAAACAGACCAAATGATCAGTTTAACTGAGTAAAAACTAACTTTGATATTATACAATATTGCTAGCAACACAGTGACATGTAGATAAGAACCATCCATTTAACATGATATCTAGATTAGAAAGATATTTTTAGACCCTGCGAGCTAATTGCATTGTCACATCTTTAGCATTTCAATAATAAATAAATAGTACTCTACACTGTCTCAGTAGCTTCAGGTCGAATCAGCATTTCTCATGTGGTCCACACTGATGTCGAAATGTAGAGACAATAGGTGAA